TATCCGCTATCAGTTGACATGCCGGGAACAGCAAGGTAAGAGAGGCTTCTTTGAGCAACCGTGAACTGATGAGGGAAAAATTCAAAGAACAATATATACCTGCTTAAAAAAAACAAAAACAAGTACTAAGAGTGTTTGGGGATTTAGTCCCTATTGTAGGAGTTTTATTTTTTTAAGATTTTATTTATTTATTTTTGCGAGAGAGAGAGAAAGAGTGAGTATGAGTGGGGGTGGGGGTGGGGGTGGGGGAGGAGCAGAGGGAGAAGCAGACTCCCCGCTGAGCAGGGAGCCCAATGCAGGACTCAATCCCAGGACCCTGGGATCATGACCCAAGCCAAAGGCAGACGCCTAACTAAGCCACCCAGGGGCCCACAAATTGTAGGAGTTTTAAAAATCAACGAGGGTAAATGCCTTTGTCAATTTGTTCTTCCTAGTAGAGAAGAATTAGGCAAGAACCTAGAAGTAGGCAGAAACTTTGCTGGTGGTGACCATATGGTGTAGAAAGGGTTTTGGAGCACAGCCAGGTGTCTCCACATGTAGTGTGCAGGCAGAATGCTGGTGCTCTAGTTAAAGGTTGGAAATAGATGTTTTTGTTCTTAAAGTTTTTTACAGCTTGGAGAACCTGCTGTTCACTAGCTGTATGAACCTGGGCAAGTTGGTTAAAATTCCCACACCTCAATTTCCTTATCCATGAAATGGGAATGAATATAAATACAGGATTTCCCTGCCATCCAAAAGTTTGCTTTATGAAACTTCAATTTTACAGAAGACCTACATTAGTACTTGTTTTCACTAACCAAAAGAAATCTGAAAAGGATTTTTGATTTTATGAAATGGTAATCACTTCTTCGTTTTGCACCATTTCAATTTACAAAAGATTTCATAGAAACCATCTACTTTCAGATAGCAGGGGAAACCTGTAGTTCCTATCTCTGAGGGCTTTTAGAAGGATGAAATGAGGTCTTACATGTAGCTGTGTAAGGTAGTGGTTAAGACGGTGGACTTGTGGGGCGCCTGGCTGGCTCAGTGAGAAGAGCATGCAATTCTTCATCTCTCGGTTGTGAGTTCAAGCCCCACATTGGGTGTATAGATTACTTAAATAAATAAATAAATAAATAAATAAATAAATAAATAAATAAATAAATAAATAAACTTAAAAGTATGGACTCAAGTCAAATTGCCTGGTTTGAATCCTGGAACTGCCATTTACTACTTGTATGTCCTTGGGCAAAAGACTGACCTGTCTATGCCTGAGTTTCTTCATCTGTAGAATGGAGATAATACCTCATAGGATTTTTATGAGGATTCAATGACTCAACACATAAAGTGCTTAGAAGAGTGTCTGGCACAAAGTTAGCATTCAGTAAATGTTAGCAATCATTTGCAAGGTTCTTGACATACAGTATTGATTGATACATGGGAATCAAGGGTATCCTTCTTGTCTAGGCTTTCTCTCAAGGTCCACCCCAACCCATCCTCACTTAGAATTATGGCCCGGAGATGTCTCAAGCCATTTGTGGTCACGAGTAATGGAGATGCAAAGTCTCATAGAGTGATGAGAGAAGTAAGAGTCCACACTCTGAACCAGATCCAGAAGCAACTGAGCAGAGTCCAAAAGGGGTGAGACCCCTACCTTGACATAATAAGGGTTCTATATGAAAAACCCATAGCCAACATCATACTCAATGGTGAAAAGCCAAGAGCTTTTCCCCTAAGGTCAGGAACAAGACAAGGATGTCCACTCTCACCACTTTTTTTTTTTAAGATTTTATTTATTTATTTGAGAGAGCGCACGGAGGGAGAGGGAGGAGCAGGCTCCCTGCTGAGCAGGGATCTCGATGTGGGGCTCAATCCCAGGACCCAGAGACCATAACCTCGAGCCGAAGGCAGATGCTTAACCGACTGAGCCACCCAGGCACCCCTCTCTCTCACCACTTTTAATTTTTTTTAATTTATGTAAGTAATCTCTGCAAATGACATATCTGATAAAGGGTTAGTATCCAGAATATATAAAGGACTGATATAACTCAACACCCAGAAAACAAATAACCCAATTAAAAAATGAGCAGAAGACATGAACAGACATGTCTCCAAAGAAGATATACACATGGCCAATTAGACACATGAAAAGAGGCTCAACATCACTCATCATTGGGGAAATGCAGATCAAAGCCACAATGAGATATCACCTCACACTTGTCAGAAAGGCTAAAATCAAAAACAAGAGACAACAAGTGTTAGCAAGGATGTGGAGAAAAAGGAAACTTCTTGCACTGTTGGTGGGAATGCAAACTGGTGCAGCCACTGTGGAAAATGGTACGGAGGTTCCTCAAAAGGAAAAATAGAACAACCCTACAATCTAGTAATCACACAACTGTGTATTTACCCAAAAAATTCACAAACACTAATTCAAAGGGATACATGCACCCCTATGTCTGTTGCAGCATTATTTACAATAGCCAAACTATGGGGGCACCTGGGTGGCACAGTTGGTTAAGCATCAACCTCTTGGTTTCGGCTCAGGTCATGATCTCAGGGTCCTGGGATCAAGCCCCATGTTGGGTTCCACAGTCAGTGGGGACTCTGCTTGAGATTCTCTCTCTCTTCCTCTGCCCCTCCCACTCATGCTGTTTCTCTCTCTTTCCCAAATAAATAAATAAAATCTTAAAAAAAAAAACACAACAGCCAAACTATGGAAGCAGCCCAAGTGTCCGTTGATAGATGAATGGATAAAGATGTGATATGTGTGTATACATTTATGTATATATATATACACATATACATGTGTGTGTACATATATATGTTTATACATATATAAAGAGAGACTGTATTCAGTGTACCATTTATTGTTGCTTTGTAACAAACCACCTCAAACTTAGTCATGCAAAATAATCATTGTATTATATTCACAGATTTGTGGGTTGGGGATTCAAAAAGAGTACAGTGGAGATGGCTCCATGTCATCTGAGACCTCTGCTGGAAAGACCCAGATGCTGGAGATGGCTCAATGTCTGGGGTTGAAACAAACTGCAAGTATCTTTTGTGGTTTTCCTAGGAATTGGCTTTGATCTCATCTAGGTTGTTGCCTGGAACATCCACACATGTTCTCGCCATGTGGTTTGGGCTTCCTCACAGCGTGGCTGCTGGGTTCTAAGACCAAGCATTCCCAGAGAGCCAGGCAGAAGCTATATTGCCATTTATAACCCAGCCTCAGAAGTCACACAATGATGTTTATACCAGGGTCAGTCAGCCATGATTCAAATGGAGAGACATACACCCCATCTCTCAATAGGAGGAATGTTACGGTCACATTGTAAGAAGAACATGTAAGATAGGAGATATTATCGTGGCCATCTTTGGAAAATAAAATCTGTCACACCCGGGCACATGAGCACCACTAGAAAAAAGATGTAACACAGAAAAATTAATCAATTCGTGATTCCAACCTCAGTTGAGTCCTTAACACCACCTGACAATTCTACATCATTTCTCTGTTCAACTTGCTTCAATTTGCAATGGCTATTTCAAATATTCTCTGCTGTAGTAGACTATGTAGGTTTCACCTAACACCTGTTCCCAAAACTTTTTTCTCCTGTCCATGTCCTTTATAGAGGTGAGAAAAGCTAAACACTCACTTTCCTAGCCTTGCTTGCATCTCTGTGGCACTGTCCTGGCCAGAGAGATGTAAGTAGAAACCTGCTGCAGGACTTCTGTCCAAGCTCTTGCCTTAAACAAGAAATGCTGCATGGAGTGGAGGCAGCCAGGCATATTGTGACCCTCCAGGAAAGGCCAAAATATTTACAGAAATACAGGCCCTGATATCATTGAGTCACTGAACAGATGCTGCTGTCTACCTCCAGGCTTCCTATCCTGTGAGAAAAATAAACCTTTATTTGCTTAAATCACTGATAGGCTTTCTGTAGCTGATACAACCACTCTTCTCCACCCCCTGCTCCTCCACTTTTTCTCTTTATTCTCCACAGATGACCTTCCATCCTTTTCAGAGAAAAGTCTTCAGATGGTCATTGACTTTCTTGCCACCAAACCTACCTACTTACCTGCATCCATAGCCATCGTGTTTCCTCCCTCCCTCCTGTTATACCAGAAAAGGGGTCCCTACTCCACGGATGGGGAATTGGGCGGTGGTTAAGTAGGGAGATGCCACTCTTGCATCAGTTTTGGTTTTCTGACCATATCCTCATGCTCTGGGCCTCTATCCAGTCATCAGCTACGTGGCCATGAACAGGCCATTAAAGTAGCCAATACTTTATCGAGTGGATTCTAAGCTGTGCCCAATAAAGGCTCTGCAGTAGGCGCTGGGGGCATGCTAGGTCTAGGAAGGAGACAGTCCCAAGTAGAGAGAACACTTTATAAGGCAGGGGAATGGAGCCCCGGAGGAACCGAAAGTCCCAATGTGGTTGGGTGGGCAGCGTGCAGGAAGGGATTGGGAGGCAGGTCTGGAGAAGTTTGCAGGGACCAGAGTAAGCTCGGTTCTATAGACTAGGCAGGGTCATGATTTTGGTTTTAACCCTAAATCACTGGGACAAGAAGTGAATTAATCTCTCTGAGCCTCAATTTCTACTTGGTAAATACATTTTAGAACTCTGCTTAGTTGCGTGAGAGTTCCTTTAGGGCAAAGAAAGACCTGTGTTTTTACGCATTTTTGTATCCACGTGGTCGGCGCTTAATAAATGCCTCATTTGGGTGAATGAGATCGTGGTGTCCGCCACCGACTTCGTCTATTAACTCACTCATCGATTTCCCTCATTCCCTTCCTTCCCTCCCCTTTTCTCGCCCTTCCTCCCTCTGGCTTCCCAAGCCTTCGCTTCCCTCCAATCCTCTCCTAGCTTCCCGCTTCCTCTTCCCGGCCCGCCCCTTCTCTGCGTCGCGAAGGCAGAGAGGGCGAGGCGAGCTTTACGGCAGCCGCGTTGCGGCGGGGCGGGGCGCTGGGCGGCTGGCGCGCTTGGCGGCAGCGGTGGGAGGCAGGCCGGCAGGCAGGCAGACGGAGTTGCAGGCGGGTGGCGGCGGCTGTGCCTGGTAGTGAGGGCGGGAGGGAGTGAGTCACTGAGCGTGTGTGAGGGAGGGAAGGAGCAAGCGGGCGAGCGAGCAGCCCGCGCCGTTCGCCCGCAACTCCAGCCAGGCCCCGCCGCCGCCCCGCAGCCCAGCGCCGAGGCCGGGCCGAGCCGAGCTGGGTCGGGCCCGGGCCATGCTGCTCACCGTGTACTGTGTGCGGAGGGACCTCTCCGAGGTGACCTTTTCCCTCCAGGTCGACGCCGACTTCGAGCTGCACAACTTCCGCGCGCTGTGCGAGCTCGAGTCCGGCATCCCCGCAGCCGAGAGCCAGGTATGCCGGGCAGCGAGCGGGGTCTTCCTCCGGCGCTAACCCTCCTGTCTGCGGGTCTCACGCCCTCCCTTTGCTACTGGTGAGGAATTGGGGATGGGGGAGCAGGGTGGCCTCTCCCAGCTCGCCCCCGCGTCCGGGAGGGAGCTGGAATCGGTAGCTGCCCCCACACACGCCGAGCGTGGGGTGGGGTGCCATGGGAGGGAGCGGAGAACCTGACCGCAGACGCACCCACTGCAGCCTGAGGGGCGCGTGGACAGTTGGGCGGCCCGCCCCACCTTCTGGCTCTTTGGCCCTTTCTCCCTTAATAATCCCGAGTTTGGGGTGTTGTGGACCTATGTACATTATGAACAACCGTAGAATAGAAGAAGCAGCTCGAGGTTTGCAGGAATTCATACATCCTGCTTCCCCAACCAGAAATACCAGTTTGGATCACTGTGGTAGGTTGATGTGCATCGGCTTTTTTGGAGAGGGCTCCTGCTTAAGCAAACGTAATTTACCTTTAAATGTAGAGATTTGCACTCCTAAGTGAAGGAAAAAGTTTTGAGACTTGCATTACCTTGTTTTGAGGAATTTGGAAATGCCCTGTTTCCTTTTCCCTACCACATGGCATTTCTGGTTAAATTCTTTAAAAAAAAAAAAGGCAACCCCCCTCCCCCCCACCCAAGGGATGGCAGTTATTAGTTCAATTCATGTTGTTTCTGTGGTTTCTTCGCTGGGAGTAGGCCAGAATCCCTCTTTATTTCAGGCCACAATTCAGAGTTTGGATGGGTTCAAAGTTCAGTGCTTTATGAGGATATTTTTGTAAAAATGGCCTAGTATCTTCTCTGTGTGATTTGCCTGTTTCATTTCCCTACCCTGTTGGAAGGAAGTTCAGCTGCTCTAACATTTTAAATAAGCAAAGTAATTTATTCTCAAAATGCCGTGAGACTGCCACCAAACAGAATTGGTGACGATAACTCTGGCCTTCACACTAAAACATTTAAATCTTAACTTGATAAGTAGACCTTGGAGGACATGGTCTAAACATTAAGAAAATTATAGAAGTCCTCCAAGGCCCCAGAATGTAAATCTTGATTTCCTACTGCAGTTATGAAATAGTTCCAAAAACTGTTGCCCAACTACAGCGTGTTCTGCCCTGTGTTATGGTAAACAGATGCGTCAATATTTTGTTCAGAAGTGAGTATGATTCCTTTACAGTATGTGAACTTTAGAACCTTGGCATAAAGCTGAATATCAAGAAAGAATTTGTTTCAGGGTGGAAAGTGCCACTCAAATAGGCAGACTGATGAAAGATACAAAGAAATTGGTAAAAGGGATTATTTGCACCTTTTTCTATAAACAGCTAATCCACAAAAACTGAGGAACCAGTTCCTGTCAGTGAATCCCTCAAGTGGAGAGCTAGGAAAGGACAGTTTAAGTAGGGAGGTACACTCAACTCTTAAATATTTGAAGGTGGCTTTTCTGTTACCCTGGTTGTAATCACCAGCTGGTGGGGGAAATAAAAAATTAAGATGTAAGTTGATTTTGTTGTTATTAGGACTTGGGAGATGAAGATTGACATTGCCTCAATTTCTACCCTTTTTGAGATGGGCTGTAACAAAATTTAAGTGAAGAGTGTGTCAGATTGACACAGCTCAGGCTGTGAGGAGTACCTCACTAATTGAACAATTAGGCTAACTCCAAATTTCTTTCTTATTCCTTAGGTCACCTTTTGGGCATTTACTTCCTTCCCAAGCCAAATTAGCATGTGCAAAACCGGGTTCCAAGTACTGTGAACCCTGTATTAATAGAGCCTTAAACAGCTCCTGTGTTTCAAGTTTGTTCCATTGGCTCCATTGTAACCTAACACAGTATCTATTTTAAGATGTCTGGTGGTCGGTTGTCTTTTCAGTTGTTTGTCCATCAGGCAGGAACAGGATCCACCCTAGACACTTGAGTCATTTCCGTTCACCAAATCATAATAGTAAGCATCATTATAGTTCTTACCTACAAAAATATCACTTACTTGAGGCCCCCTCTCCCACCCTTTTACCTCCCAGGTTCTCCCCTATTACTCATCTTCCCTTTCTCCCTCTCACAGTTCTATTGGTCTCTTTACCTCACTCCTCTTATTTACCTTCTTAAAGGGATTTTTTTTTTTTTTTAATGTTCCTGGCTATTCTTTCCTGTCAAGATCTCCACCACTAATCTCCAAACTTTTTTGGTTATGTATTCCTCTGAGTAAAATGTTTTGGAACATACATCTTTGTGATATATAAAAAGTTATAAACATTATGAATGAATGTGATATGCATTTTATATATATGCACGTATATGTATATAACTGGAAACATCAATTATGTAATATACATGAAGTAATACCTTATGTACATTATGAACAGCCATAGGATAGAATTTAAGGAAGGATGAACTAAAATAAATGGAAATGAAAATTCTAATGTTTTTCTGTTCCTTCATGTTTAAAGAATTGCTTTGCATGTCTGCCCCACATGGAGGATCACTAGTTTAGAATTCAGTCTTCCACATCAGCATCAGTTGTGCATAAGTATGCACTTGGAAAAGGTGTTAATTTTTAACAGCTCTAGTCTGATTATAGTAGTTGTAATGTGACGATAACAAATTTAGACTAGAAACTTTCTCTGCTTGTACATGTGATTAAAGCTGGGCATGTTCCATCTCTTAATACAAGTGTGGGCTTGGAAGCCAGTCATGGCTCTGATACTTTGATGCAGACTTGGCCGGGCAAACTTCAAAGAATTATCAGAACTTAGCTTCACTTTAAATTAATGTCTTTGTATTTTTGAAACATCATTATAATTTACCCCTGTAGGTGGCATGTGGTAAAGACGTGTGCAGAATGTGTAAGGACTCTCAAATGAAAGGCATATTTAAATACCAAATAATAGCAGTGACTGTATGATCCTGGAAAAGCAGCTCTGTACACAGCATGATTTGTGGTTTGTAAAACACTATTTTAAATCAGTAGAGACTGAAATTTTCTATTGTAGCTGGTTTTGACATGTTTATTTTAGCAGGTAATTTTCTTGTATTTTTTTTCCTGATAAATACTGCATATTCATTATAGAGAATTTGTAACTTGCAGGAAAAGATAAGGACAGTAAGTTAGTACCTCATAACCCTCAAATAACTGCTGTTTACTTTTTTTTTTAAGATTTTATTTATTTGAGAGAGAGAGATGGCGAGGGAGAGAGCACGAGCAGAGGGGAGAGGGAGAAGCAGGCTCTCCACTGAGCAGAGAGCCTGACGTGGGACTGGATCCCAGAACCCTGGGATCATGACCTGAGCCGAAGGCAGATGCTTTACCAGCTGAGCCACCCGGGCGCCCCTGCAGTTTACATTTTAGTGTATTTTTTTTCTAAGCTTACTTCCTCTTATATATATATATTTTTTTTTTTTTTTAAGGTTTTATTTATTTGACAGAGACACAGCGAGAGAGGGAACACAAGCAGGGGGAGTGGGAGAGGGAGAAGCAGGCTTCCCGCTGAGCAGGGAGCCCGATGTGGGGCTCCATCCCAGCACTCTGGGATCATGACCTGAGCCGAAGGCAGACACTTAATGACTGAGCCACCCAGGCACCCCATATGTGTCTTTTAAACACGGTGCCCTGAACTATACTAACAGTTTCAACTTTCTTTGTTGCGTCAACACTACATTGTCAGCATTTCCCATCGCATTTCATATTCTTCAAATTTATCATTTTAATGGCCATATCATATACCATCCTATGGATGTACTACAATTTATTTAACAATTTCCCTGTTGCTGGGCATTTGAATTGGGGAAAATTGGAAGCAGTTATGAGTAACATTTCCATGGATACCTATATACTTAAGGCCTTGTCCCCATTTCTGATTATTTTCTCAGGATGTATTCTTAGGTATGGAATTGCCAGGTCTTTTGAAAGGCTTTTAGTAACTGTTGCCAAATTGTTTTCCAGAAGGTTGGAAAAGTCAAGCTGTTGCGATAGCGTATGTAGATCACTTGGCATATAGTAGGCTTTCAATTAACGGTAGATACTATGATGTAGCCATTCACATGTGAGTCCAAAGATTTTGTGGCCAGTGTCTGGTCCTTACAGCTAGAAATGTATTGTTACGATTTCTGTTGATTGAAGGCTCTCATTCAGAGACCGGAAAACATTTGACATCATGCTTAAAGATCCCGGAGTTGTTTTAATTAGACTATTGTTGAATGTTGACTAAGAGGAGAATTCTGTCTGGAGGGCACCTCGTCTAGAATAAGTCCTTACAGGTAGGCCAGTTCTGCACCTAAAGACTTGCAGCAGTATCAGTTTTCCTGTTGTATGTTTCATAACTGGCAAAACTAGAATTTTTAGCTTTGTGGCCTTGGAGTTGGGTGTTCTAGTAGAAAGTATCACCAGTGCTACTACTGAAACTCATTTTGTTTTGACTGGTAGAAATTTGAAACCATTGGTCTAATACACTTCTATTAGGCTGGAAGCTCATTCAGTTTTATTCTAGGACTTAAGCTATAAAATCATTGTCTTTCTTAGACTTTTAAACCTGTTTTAACAAAAAGAAATCATTTCTTTGTGGCAGTTATAATTTCGGTTAAGCTTTTGTTTATCTCCTTTGTGTCCTTGACTAAAATGGAATACGCCCGCTGCTTTGTCAGTGTGAAAGATGTTTGCTCCTCATCCACATTTTCCAGTCTAGTATTTTTAGGAAATGGGGCAGATAGCAATATTCCACATTTCATGTATGGTTTGGTGGTAGTTATTACCTGGATCTTATTGTTAGATGAGGCTGTCTTACTTTAAAAAAAAAATTATATTGTCTGCTGAGGAAAGACTGTGTTAACTAACACTGTGGAGTGACATACAGCGTCTACAAGGTGGGAGTCCAAAGAGGGAGAAGTTGCTAGTGTTCGGGGCAGGGGTTACAGTGAGCAGTGGATAGGGTTTGCATCCCCCTGGTTAGTATAGGCCCTTATTGGACGGCTTTATAGCTCTTGTTCAGGTCACCAGCTGATTCACCAGTCCACTTTGGACTTATTGGGGAAGTTATATGTGGTCCTTAGGGAAGATTATATATGGGCTCTATAGTCAGGCAGACGTGGTTCCAGTCATAGTTCTCTTCTTAATAGCTGTGTGGTCTCAGGTCACCAAACTCTCTGTATCTGCTTCCCCGTCCATAGAATGGGACAAATAAGGCCCACCTCATAAAATGATTGACAATTCAATGAGAGGCTGTTGGTAAGTGGGAGACTGTGAGAACCCATTGTGATAGAAGCGCACGCAATGGTAGTGTTTTATTGTGGCCCTTCAGGCTGAAGAGATTTCAGCGATCTGGTGGACAGGAGCATTTTGATGCTCCTGAGTTTGATTTCCTATTGTAGATAAATGTTCTTTTATAAGTACAGTTAGAATGTGTCAGACTGTATCTCTAAATATACAGATAGTTGAGTTTCTGAACCTGGAAAATTAAGGAGTGGGCCGTGGACCACGTGGTCCCTTCATTGTGGTGGCTTCACAGTGTCGCTGCCGCCTTGTAAGAGCTGCCTGCGTGGCGTTTCTCTTGGCTTGCCTCTTCTTGCTGTACACCTCAACCCAGGACACTTGTCACTTCAGATTTCTAGTAGTTTTCCCGACAATCCCACAAGTTATGGTACGACTCTGAGGTTGTTATTGCAAACAGTCTGTGTTGATTCTGTTGTACCTTTACTGTGTGATATGTGCTTAAATAACGGAGAATAAGAGAGTGTGAATGGATTGAGGGAATGATAGTTGCAGTCTGTTCTAACATGTTTGAACTCTGTAGGTTGAGGGTAAGAACTAACATTACATTTTCTTTTTTTCTTTTTTTTTAAGATTTTATTTATTTATTTGACAGAGAGAGAGACAGCGAGGGAGGGAACACAAGCAGGGGGAGTGGGAGAGGAAGAAGCAGGCTTCCCGC